AATTTCGCCCAGTGACTTTTTTAAGTTTTCAGAAACAGTAGATACGGGTTATTTCAAAATTCAAACGAGCTCTCTTCTTCCCCAAGCACTTAGGAGTCCATTGAAGCCCCCATTCTTCAAGACCACTTGGGTTAGTAAATTCCCACGTATTTTCTTCATTTTCCTTCATTAATTATTGAATTCCTAAGCTTAAATCTGTAATATAGGGTTGAAATTGGGGAAAATGGGTAGAGTTAGGGCTTTTCAATTTTCTTTGATTTAGACCTCGTTTTGGGGTCGGATTTGAAAACAAATTGTATATCCGGGCTCGTGGGGGAATGGGTGATATGAAATTGGTTCGAACCTCGGGTTTTGACCAAGCGGGCCCGGGATCGATTTTTGAAATTTTGGGAAGAAAGCTTAGAAACTATATTTAGGCATTGGGTTTGATTTGTTTAGCTTATATTAATGTTGTAAAGTCGTTATTTCATATATTTGATTGAGTTGGAGCCGAATTCGAGAGGGAAGGCGGTCGTTGTGGATTGATTTAGCTGGGAAAGTTGAGGTAAGTGTTTGGTTTAACCTTAGCTTGAGGGAATAGGAGTTGAGTCTTGTTTGCTACTTGCTAATTGTCGAGTACGGTGTATAGGCATGGTGACGAGTATCTATACACTGGTGTCTATCATGACCGTGAGTCCTTATGATGTGTCTATTCTTATCTTGTTGTGCTTTTCCGTGCTTAGTTGATGATTCATATGTGATGAAAGAGTATGAGAAGGAGATTATGAATTGTAAAATTTTTGGGAGCATTGGCTCAAGTGATAAAGTGAGATGTGAAGTAAGAAATGAAAGAAAGCTAATGAGTTATTGGTTATTCCCTTGCCGGGATGTTTTGCTGTTTGGTAGACTTTTCTCCCTTGCCGGGATATTGAAATTGTTGTTATTGTTCCCTTGCCGGGATTCCTATTTTGTTTGGCTATTCCCTCGCCCCATTGTTTGTGATTGTTGTTTGGGTGAGGACGAGTGATAAAGCACGAAGGGTGATGTCGTGCACGATTGTGATATGAAAACTAATGCACGAAGGAACATTCCGTGCCATGACATTAATACTAATGCACGAAGGAACATTCCGTGTCACGATATAATTACTAATGCACGAAGGGACATTCCGTGCCATGATGTGAGTGTTATGCACGAAGGATCATTCCGTGCCATCATTTTGTGAGGTAAAGCACAAAGGGTGATGCCGTGTATTGTTTGCTATTGTGAGGACAGAGTGTAAAGCACGAAGGGTGATGCCGTGCCGCACGATGTACCATTCCGTGCCCATTTTATTGATTTTATTTGAGGAAAGAGACTAAAAGCACGAAGGGTGATGACGTGCACATTTTGTTATTCTAATTGCTTGGTGAGTATGAGAGTAAAAGCACGAAGGGTGATGCCGTGCATTTGTCTTTGATTTTCCTGATTTCCTTGCTGATGATTGAGTTATGTTTTCCTTTACTTCTATTTATTGATTTTCTTGTTGTTATCAGCTCAAGTGCATTACTTGTCTTATTCCATTATTTCTGTGATTCTTTACGTTGACATTTCCCTTTATCGTGTTACTTGTTATTATTGAACAAAGGTATCCTTGCCAAACGTTATGTCTTGAATTTATGCCTTAATTGCTATATGATTATGTGACCTAATTGCTACGTGACATTCAACATATAAATTACTAAATTGCCTAATTTCCCCCTTATAATCCATAATTAACTGCTATTTGTCATTATTTGTTTTCCTTAGTAAATCATAAATTTTGTGTACTTGTTGTCTTATGAACTCGTATTAATTGTTGCGTTTGTTAGAGTAAATTTTCTTTTAGAGGAACTATTGATTTATTAGAATGGGAGCGGGTGGTACTACCACGAGTGATATTGAAATGGGAGCGGGTGGTACGCCTACCACGAGATATCAAGAAATGGGATCGGGTTGCACGCCTGCAACAAGATGAGTGGAATATGATAGTTGCCTTATCTCTTCATTTACTGCTAGAAGTTAAATTGTAGATATACTCTTTGTTATTCCTGAAATTCTATTTCTAACTGTTGCCCCTGAAGCATGCTCCGTTCCCCATCTTAAATTGTTATTTTCTTGCTACGTCTCCGTTGTACTTGTATATATATCTGCAGGTTTATTTGGTGGTCTGGTCCTAGCCTCGTCACTACTTCGCCGGGGTTAGGCTAAGCACTTACTAGCACATGGGGTCGGTTGTGCTAATACTACACTCTGTGCTATTTTGCACAGATCCCAGGCTTCAGACAGCAGCAGCAATAGAGTGGGAGCAGGCTTTCAGTCTAGTGAGACCCGAGGTAGCCTTGCAGGCGTTCGCAGGCCCTGGCGTCTCCTTTCATCTATGTTCCTGTTTCTTTCATGTAATTCCGGAGACAGTGTCGAGTTTATTTCTTTCAGACCTTTATGTGTAGTATTGTTAGACAGTCTGTGAAATTGTGACATCAGTCTTGGGTAGAGGCCTTGGTTGAAATTTTCCGCAATTCTATTCAGTTTTCTACAATATTGAGACTTCCGCTTATTATTTAATTTCGTTGCTTTTGTATTATTCCCGATAACTGTTAAAAGTAATTAAATTTGGCTTGCCTAGCTCTCATTATTAGGCGCCATCACGGCTTCCGAGGGTGAAAAATCCGGGTCGTGACAATAAATAATAAAAAGTAAACTGCCTCTAGCGATGGAAAGTAAGTTATGGATCTTTACTTACAGGAATCAAAACTTGATCTTGAGAAGATTCAAGAGATGTATGTTGTCATGTAATGGAAGGACCATTCTAGAAAATATCCCGATCTTTCAGTGATGGCGCGTGATCTACTTAATATTCCTATTATAATTGTAGCATCAGAATCAACATTTACCATTAGGCGTGTTATTACAAAGTACAGAAGTTGCATTGATTATGAAAATGACTATTACTCGAAATTGGCTGCACAACTTTTCCCAAACTCAAACTGGTAATATTTTTTATGTGAATTTAAATATTTATTAGTTTTTAAAATTTAATTATTGTTAAAATTTAACTAATTAATATGCATATGAATTGTAGATGTAGATGAAAGTGAAGATGTTAAGACAATCTTGTCACAAGCGGATTCAAATGTGTTTGATGAAGATGATGTGTTGGATATCCCATAAGCGTCATGGATGTTCTCGTGAATAGTTTGTTTTGAGTTTTGACTTTTAATGAATGAAATATAGTTGTCTTTTACTTTTATTTAGTGTTTATTTTAATATATTGGAACAGTATAAAAAGTTATAAAGTTTTGCAGAAGTTTTCTAATAAGATATTTTTTAACTTTTAAATAACTATTTTTTTTAGGTCAGAACTTAAAGAAAAAATATAAAATTATATTTTAAAAACTGATGGATCGGCCCGTGGAGGCCCGCGACCCACATAGGGCTGGGTGGGCTGACCATTATAAGGCCCATCAAAATGGTGGGCTAGCCCAGCCCAGCCCGTCAATAGCTAAAGCCCACGTGGGCTGGGCTGGGCTAGCCTGGCCCGACCCATATTGACAGCTCTATCGAGAGCATTTCCACTTTGAAAACGACGCTGCTACTACAACTTTATGTTTAGGGGGTGTATACAGTCAGGTTGATTCGAATTTTTCAATTACCAATTGCGGCGAGTTTTTAAATTTAAAAACCAAACCAATTAACCAACAAAGTGAGGTTTTTCAATCTCTATGGTTTTCGGGTTTTTGGATTTTTTCCCAATAAAGTATTCATAGCACAAAATATGTAACTTGTGCTCTAAATGTTTCTTTAGTCCTAGTGAGATACAACTATATAACATATTTTCCAAGAAAATAATGCAATTATATGTGATAAGTCATAGCATTATACTAAAATATTCAATAACAAAGATAATAAAATTACCTAAAGCAAATATTATTAATTAATAAGTCCTATTGAAAATTAATATAATCTAAAAATATTATATAAATCATGATAAAATAAGTATAACTAATAAAGTAGTGTTAATTTGGTTTGGTATAATAGTAAGAATAATAATAATAACAAGAAGGCAAGTTGCGTAGAGCTCAAAATGTGCCGGTTCGTAGATGCGACACCATGATGCTTGAATGTGTTGAGAGTGGTGGAGACTTAAATTTACAAGACGGGAAGTTGTTTCAAAAAGACTTAAATTTTTTTGGAATCTATAATGTCTTATGTTTGATAGGTCTTTCTAGTTTTGTTAGAGATTGTATGCCGTCTTGGCATAAGTTTGAACTATTAATTACCCTAAATGACAAGTTGTTGAATATTGGATCAGAACAAGCCCAAATGGAGTAAAATGGATATAGAGGATTCATATAGCGAAGGCAAACTAGCTTTCTGATTGAGGTGTAGTTGTTGTCACATAAATATGGTTTGGATTTAAGGGTTCTGATTTGGTTTTTCTATCTATTGAAGGATAGTGCAACATATTTATCATAATTGAGTTTTTCTTTTTTTAGAAGGAAATTATAAATCTCCCATATTTTTCTAGTCCCTTTTCTTGGAAGAAAATGTTTGGACTTCTATTAATTGAGGGTCCAAGGGTTATGACCATGTGGCTTCGCACTGGTAGGATCCACAATGTAGCCATATGGTGTTTGAGAGTCTTGTTTAGGGCGAGAACTTTTCGGGGCAGTGTTAGTGTGCTACTTGTGTTTGCCTCTTTGTGAGATTGTTTAGGGGGAGAACTTGATATTTTGTACTCTCTTTTATATAGTGAATTGCTAATCTCCGCCGTGGATGTAGGTCAATTGATCGAACCACGTTAAATGTTTGTGTTTCTTTTGGTATATTTCTCTGTTATTGACTGATTTATCGTTGTTCAAGGTTTGTTTTGCTAGCTTCCGTATGACACCTGATTATTTCGATCCTAACACGCGGCCATATTGGCTGTCCATCTTCTTGAGTTTATATTAACACATTCCTATTTCTGGAGGTACACATTCATATTTGCACAGGTCTGCATATTTTGAGTGTGAAAACAGACAATCTAATTGTGCTTGATATATGATAATGCATTCACATTAGCAGCACTCTGATACACACCAGGCAAATTAAATACTATACATCTTACAAATAAGAAGGTGTAGAAGTAGCAGAAGAAGAGAAAGGGGATGATGTTAAAGACGACGAAGAAGAAGACAACAAGTAACTCGAATTGAACTCTATCTGCAACCGATGATGTAGAGAGAAATAAGAAACTGTCTCCTTTTTCTCTTGCTCCTCCAGTTCCTTTTGAGGGATAGCCGCGAGAAATCTCTTGATGAATTCTCTGCAGCATCCTTTCCCATTGCATATCATCTCTTCCTTAGCCTTAGTATCATTTTTCAATGACTTCTCCTCCGCGTAAACCTTCTCAAACATCATAGTGTTATCATCAAACTTTAAAATGTATGCTTTGTTGCAACCCTCAAATAACCTTTCTCCCAATGTATCAATAATGTAATAAGCGTTAGCTTCCACCTTCAACACGAAGAAATGATCGTTCCAACTTATAATATATACTCTAGGCTCAAATGCAGTCTCTTCTGCAATGCTGCTAATCTTTTCCCATATTTGATCAAATGACATTACTCCTTGTAATGATTCAAACTTCTCAGGGCTGAAGAATCCAACGAAGGATTGATCATGCGATATGGCTATAGGTCGAATACCAGCACGCAAGATAGTCGCTAAATCAAAGTGCTTGTTTGGGAAATCATTGATGTAAGTATCATTTTGGCATAACTTTCTCCATTCTGAGGAACCATGTAATATGAGGTTATCGAATTCTGACCTCGTGGGCATTGCATCTCTATTCGATTGCAGCCAATGGGAGATGACAGCAACCAGTGCTGTACAAGCACTCTCGCCAGCAGCTTTATCGCTACATTGGTCGAAAGATGCAAAGAAGACATTGGTTTTGAGCCTTGTTTGTCCATCCCTATTCTGTAGCTCTTTCACTTCCCAAGCAGACTTCTTGCTGCTGCCTTCATTTTTGTCCTTTGATTCAGTAGAAGGTTCAGGCTTCCCCACATTCTGTTAGTGAAAATCGCATAAGTATCAGTGGACAAAGTTTCACCTTATATCTACATTTAGTCTAGGATAAGAGATTTCATAATTATATTAAACAGATTTCCAGCTTAAACATAACAGAATTGACTCATATTGTTTGTTTTACTTGTTAACAAAGTAGATGATATGGTTTCTAGGATCGTTAACAATGAGATATTATAGCAAATAGTTAAAATTTCAGATGAATATACAGCTCAAAGATAAATTTTACCAAGATATAGACCTGTTTGATTGTGAATTTGGCCTTGACTTGTTCCAAGGGTTTATAAAAGATGACAATGACAATATTTAAGCTTCGGAAGACACTGACTTCTCAACTTTTCCGTTATTCTACTCCCTCCGTCCCAAATTAACAGTCGTTTTAGCTCAAAATAATTGTCACTTTAGAATTCAATACTAGAATTTGTTAATTATTTTCAGCTATACCCTTAATGTTAAAGTAGTAGTTCTTTTTAATACTGTCCAATTCTTAGTAAACTCCTAAACAATATCTTGTATTTAGCGTTTTTTTAATGGACGTGAAAAGAGCTAAAGTGACAGTTAGTATAAATCGGAGATTTTATTAGTTTAGTTTAGTTTATGCAAATGTATCTGTTGGCTAAATCGTGACACAACACTAAAGCTACGACTCTTTTTAATCAACGGTTCTGCTTTACTCCTTGTTGGTTTAAGACTCAATCTCCTTCTCTTCCAAGAGAACCACCCCACTTTGTTGACTGAGTCAGCCTGAGTTTCTACACTCGGTATCGATCCCGACTCAATTGTCTTCGGTTCCACTGCTTCAAATGTTGATGACTCGTCCGAGTCATCTTCTTGACTCAGCTGGTTCTCTTTGTGTCCCTTTCTGTCACACACTTTTACTCTTACCTAAACTTGCAGCTGAGTTGACTCGTTTGAGTCACGGGCACTACCCGCCGAGTCTTGAACATCTCTTATCTTAGCAAATTTTACTTTGACCTAGAATTATTGAAATTGACAAAGTCAGAATAATCATATTTAATTGGGTAATTAAAAATATTAAATGGCTTTATTGAGTCATTTTATTTAATAATTTTCAGAAAATTGAGGGACTTTCACATTGTTATTTTTCTAGAATGTGGTCAAGAAAAATAGGCGTAGAACATAAATTAACATATATACTCCTTTTCAAAAAGACCGAACCTAATTTTTTTTTAATCAGTTTTTAAAAAGAATGATTTCTTTTTAAATTTGAAAAGAATGTAATTTTAAATTTTCATTTTATTATTAATGAGATAATTTTGTAAACACATAAATATTTATGAATTATTTTGGACCATTAGTTTCAAAAAAAAAAATTTAACTTCACGTCCGGTTAGACAAGTTCAAATAAAGTGAAATGAAGGGAGTATAGAATAAGATACATTATCAATCATTGTCCTTTAAACTGCTGGAACATCAAGGAATTAGTCAGCTAAAAGCTGTCACTTTTGCTTATGTTATTAACAAGTCAGAGAACATATTCTACTAAATTCTCGGCAAGATTTATTCATTATTAGCCTCAGATATTTGACTTGTCAACCCCCCCCCCCCCCCACCCACACACACACAAAAAAAACAAGCAAATAGCGGTAGAAGTTTGACCAAATATGGGAAAATAAAACTAATATCTTGCTGTGACATCGTGTGAAAGCAAGCTTAATTACATATTTGAAGTTTTAATTATCCCAAAAAATAATATAACAAATGTAACAATTGGAAGATTTATGGAAATCTTAAGGTACATCTATGCTAACACAAAATTTCCTTAAAAAGGAAGAACAAAAATGTAAATTACAAAACAAAACAGGAGTTAGCATCGGACAAATTCCATCACTAAACAGTGTAGTTTAATTTGACGACAGATTAGCGATGAATTATAAAAAATTAGTTAGCTTGGGCGATTTAGCATAAATTAGTGGCTAACTTCACAGCTAATTTCTGTTTTTTTTTTTTTAATTGAGATAGACATTAATTGAGCTAGATGAAGAAAAGAATGGAACTTACATGGAGAGTGGGTGATATAGAAACTCTACCAATATTCAAAGTAATGGGAAGTTTCTCTTCAACTTCAGACACCATTTTTGAAGCCATTTCTGCTACATTAACCACCATTTTTGCCTCCAATTTATTTGAATATAAAACATTAAATGAGACATCCCAAGGCGAATGAATACTTTAGACTGTGATAACAACCAGAAACCTCTGTAAAACAACAAACATTCTCAAACTCATCACTATCACTATTCCATTCAATGGAATTATTAGCTGTCCTTTCTTCACAATTCTCCGACTTGTAATATCTTTCTTCTGCTTATAATGAAATGGGACTAATCCAAACTTGGGTTCACCTTTCCATTTCATCTTAATTGCCATCATCTTCACTTTTTTTGATTCTTGATTCACCCCATCAAATGCTTCAATATTATCATCAACTCCTAATTCTAGCTTCAACGTCCTAATTTTCACCTGAAACTTTTTAATTTTCACCACCATTCAAATATAAGACTTTGTTCAAGACAGAAAATATATATTGCTATTTATATATATAATATAATGAGAAGAAAGATAGTTTCCTTAGTAAGCAATGTAACAGAGGAAGGAGATGAGAAAATATATACAAATTCAAGAAAAGAAGAGGTGTAAAGGGAGTTGTCATAAGACAAATGAAGAAGGGACACGTCAACGCGGGAAAAGAATTTCAACAAGTGGGAAGTACGCGTGTGTTTAGAGGAACCAAATCCGATGACGGATTTTAGGATATTCGTGTAAAACATGAGAACGAAATGTACTTTTTGTTCTCCCAACGTGTTTAATTTGTTTTTAATTGTTTCCCCTTTTTGATGTTCAAAGTTCAATTCTTACTATGAAAATATAATATTTGTACCACGGGATATAACATTTTGAAGCTATTATATCTTATTCGGTATATGAAAATTTCTTCTAGAGATTTTATGTCTTTTATTTGACTTGGAACTGGTATCGTAGAAGGCCTTTCATGTGATTATTTCATTTAATAGTGTCCAATGTCCAGTTATACTGTGACAACAAAAAAGAAACCGAGTTTCATTTCAACTTTCTCATTTATTGATCTACTAAAAAGATTATCAAACACCTTAACTAAATAAATGTTAAAAGTTCTGTGTTTGGCAAATTCCATTTAAAGCTGATAATATTTGTCCTTCGGACCTTCCAACACCAAATATATGTGCCAGACTCTATAGATTATGCTACCACTTAGCATCAACCATCAGGACGGAGCTAGCTAAAAAGCTAGCAGGTTCGGTCGAAATTAGTAGCTTATGTTCAAATTTTGTATTTATTATAAAAATTCATTGAATATGTATAAATTATTAATTTAAAATTTAATAACTTAAAGTACTAAAATTTCAAACCTATTAGTTTCAAATTCTAATTCAGCCTCTATAACAATCATTGCAATAGTCTAAGGCTCGAAGGGAAGACGCTGGGAATTGGCTTTTGCAGTTGAAAGCGCAACTCATCCTAGCGTGGTATATCTATCTCCTGATAATGATCATTACAACAGAAGGGTATAATATAAGAGATACCAAGTTTAAAACGTAAGGTTAACATTATCACAGGTTCAGATTCAAAATTTACGAACAACGACTAACTCAATCAGTAGAGGAGACAATAATTCATGAAGGGGATTCAAGGAAATGTTCCCTTGTATTTAGCGGATCAATAGAGTAGACAGAAAACAAAATTTCACCTATACACACAATACAATTTTCGCAAAGGGGATTTAATTTAACCCCCTTCGATAAACATGACACTGCCACCGCACTCAATTGGGCTTTCATATGCTGTTCAACTATAATTAATTCAACATTCAACTGAAAAATGAAATAGGGCATCGTACAACATCAAAGGGTGATGTTAACAACTTGAAGAAATATGAAAAATGAAGTGCGCATATTACATCATTAAAAGGAGGAGCTGAAATAAAGTTTGAAAATAGCAAGTTTTAATTAAACCAAAATCGTCCTTCTAATTTCTGTTGAATTGTAGTGGATCTTTTATGCTAAACCAAACAAATTGTAGTGAGGCTCTTTGCAAAATACTTATAGCCTGTTTGGCCAAGCTCAATTTTTGGCCAAAAGTGCTTTTTTTTGGCCAAAAATTGAGGTGTTTGGCCAAGCTTTTGGAAGGAAAAAAAAGTGCTTTTGAGGAGAAGCAGAAACAGTTTTGGAGAAGCAGAAAAAAGTAGCTTCTCTCCAAAAGCATTTTTTTGAGAAGCACTTTTGAGAAAAATACACTTAGAAGCAGTTTTTTAAAGCTTGGCCAAACACTAATTGCTGCTCAGAAGTGCTTTTCAAACTAATTAGCCAAACACAAACTGCTTCTCTCCAAAAGTACTTTTGAGAAAAGCACTTTTGAAAAAAAACACTTCTCAAAATAAGTTGATTTTTGCAGCTTGGCCAAACGGGCTATTAAAGTAAGGCTCTTTGCATACTTCTTGCAAGTTGCAACTAACTCAACGGATGAATGATCATATTCGACCGATATACGGCAAGGCAAGAGAATGATAAGATTTACCTTAATCGCTTTCCTGCACGCCTAGGCAAGATCATAGCAGTAAATAGCTGCTAGTTTAGTAGCACTATGAACTACTATGAACACAGACCAACACGCCAAAATTTGGCAAATGGGGATCTTTACTAGAAGAAGCAGGAAAAAAGTGAAGTTAAAGAGTACATTATATCTCCATTGACTGTGGCGCGGCTGAGGCTTTAGATTTCTTTTTTCCTTTTCTATTTCCATTTTTCTTTTCCCTTTTTTTTGGCTTATCATCCAGGGTCGGCTGCGTGCTTTGAAGATGTTGATGAATGGCACCTAGTGGATCTGCCTGGAAAGCAGGATGATTAATAACTGCTTGAAACTGATTGCCTTCCTTCAACCTGTTGGAAGTATACACTCTTAGGAACAAATTGCTCTATCATACAAAGGACATGGGCTTTTGAAAGATAAACAAGGTTTTAAGTACTCACACTAAATTTTTCCTATTTTTACTTTTCAACTTGAACTCTGCAGGTTTTGGTTGCTGAGAGGCTTTTAACTCCGGGAGAAACTCTGTAAGTTCAGAAAGATCATAAGCCTTCAACTTCTTTTGCCTGCTTCTTACTTTTTTCTTCTGTCAGAAAAACAATCACCAATTCAGCAGAATAAACACAAGGCATAGTTTCAAGAGAAGCATCAACAGGGTACCCTCTAAATTTTGATTATTCAATTCATTAATAGAGAACTGTTGCACTATGTTATATTGTATCATGCAACCAACTCTATGTCCAACGTTAAAAGTGAAGTGTATCCTCCAGCCACCATACTGTAGAACCACAGTGGAATCTTCCTCAAAAAACGCTTAACAAACCATGAAGCTAGATGCAAATTTTGGGACTTAATAATCAAGAGTTAAGTGACTGAAGCCACATGAAAGAATTTGGGACAAGATGGAACTGACTAGTTAGAGTGCATGAAAATGGAAGGGAAACAAAAGAAAATAGGAAGTTAATTTTGGGGCTGGTGAAGGCGTGTTGGATAGCAAGTTAGCAACTAGTAGAACTTATCTCAACACTTCTTTGCATCTTAGAGTTAATGACAAACTCAAGGACAAAATAGTGCAGGACCTATAGATATCTAGATTCAAAATTGCAAAAAATACAGCGACACACATAAATAATCAACTTCAAGGAATCATTCTATATCCCAATAGACATATTAGCTGAGGTAAAAACATCATTTAACTTAAGAAATCACAACATCCATTCAATCTTATAGTATCTCCTGGGAATGTCATCCCATTTAGAGTGCCAAATGCAGAAAAAGAGCGCAAAGAGGCAACTGATCAAGACGAGACTTATTAAACCACTATGTTCACACTGTCAATCTTAGAGGAATTCACACTTGATACCAATGCCAACCTTCACTATCTGGTCTCTTCAACCGGAATAACCTTCTTCAATTTTTTTATTTTGCAAAGTTAAGTCAAATATAGGGAGCACCCACAGAGATTGTACACTCCCAATTTCTGCTGTAAACATGCCAGGACATGCATTGATCCAGGATTAGCATGTTTCCACATACATTAAACTAGAGCGCGTGAAAGAAAGTCCGTCAGTCGGTATAAAAGGAAAGCAGAATAAGCCTTTATTCAAACTATTTTTCTTCATCTATTTTTGGCTATAGATATAGAGACGAAACATTTTAGATGCATCATTCACTTTTACAGTTGTATCTAGCAGCAGAGCTAAAACCCCCTGAGTGGAGTATTCCTTATAGTCTCAAGTTAGAGACTCGATAGCTAAAGTCACCAATGATTGAAACCCTAGAACAATTAACAAAGTTTCTGGAAAAAAAGGGGGGCAAGTACACAAACCTTAGTAATAGACTTCTGGGCAGCTAATGAAGTAACTGTCTGTTTAACCTCTGTAGAAAGAACCATGCGAAATTTCCAGTTAAAATATACATTAGAAGAATGCAATCACTAGATATGTGAACTCAAAATAGATATGCCATAACACACACACAAAAAAAAAGGAGACATCTATTAGACAAAATCGAGTATAAGGTCAAGAAAATTACTAGCATAAAACTCGAGCTTCTTTTCGAATTTACGTTCAGCACGAGCGGCTGCATCTCCGCTGAAATACAAAAACGAAAAAAATTTAGAGAGTGCGAGAGAAAAACTAAGGGTAATAGATAATACAAGGCTTAATTAAGAGTAGTATTTAAGATCTGACCGTGAGGCTGTCTTCCCCATGCTTGACGGGGTAGTAAGAGCAGCGGTCTTTGCTGTTGAAAAGCTAGGGCAAGAATACAGGGGAAATTTATTAATTTAATGGGTAGCGATTGGAAAGACCAAGGTTGAAAGCTTGTAGGCAGCTGAAGTAGACGATGAAGATTGAGAACTCTTTAAAGATGGACGCCTAAATCCTAATGCCTAATCCCTTGTTTTTTCATTTGTTAGTTTTGGACTTTTGGGTTGTGCCGTTGTGGGCCTCTATGGTTATGCTGCTGTGTTAAAATAGCACGGCCTAGCCAGTTTTCGGACTGATCATTCAAAAATATCCAGCATTTGCAAAATTGTTAAAAAATAATCACTATTTTGCTGCAACAGGGACCGGTCAAGCATAATATACGGGAGATCGGTGCACCTGTGTATGAACTTCCAGCATATTATGTTGGAACTCCAACACGCAGAAAGTTCCCGCATAATATATTGAGATTGGAGCACATGTGTATGAACTTGCAGCATATTATAATGGACCGGTATATTATACTGGAACTCCAGTATATTATGCTGGAGTTCTAGTATACTTATGCAGGAACTACATTATAATATGCTGGATTTCCAGTATACTTATGCTGGAACTCCATTATAATATGCTGGAATTCCAGTATACTTATGCTGGAACTCCACTATATTTTGCTTGAGTATTTTCCGGATTTTGAACAGTGTTTTCGTTCAGATTTATCTTACATGAAAAATGGCTAAATTTCGATTATTTTTGAAATTGTGGCTATTTTTAAATGACCACTTATAAATTTGGCTATTTTTTAATTTCTCCCTGGTGCTGTTTGTGTGAGTTTACAT